TGAGTTTCTCTTCTAGGGTCTCTTGCACACTTTGTCTTTGAGCATATAACTTCTCCAAATCCCATCTGGGTCTGCGCTTTCGAAATCCTATAATTTTCTTCAACCTGGTTCGGAACTTGGCAACCAGTAAGTTGTGGTCAGAGTCAATATCTGCCCCAGGAAGCGTCTTCACATCCTTCACACTATTTCTGAATCGATGTTTCACAAGGATGTAGTCCAGCTGATGCCTCCTCCAATCCCCAGGTGCCTTCCATGTGTAAATTCTTCTCTTTGGCTTCTTGAACCAAGTTTTGGTAACAATCAGTATTTAAATTGAAACATATGGAAATGTGTTCCTTCCGATATTATGTGGAACTCTGGTTATCTCTATAGATTTGTGTCATAAATAGGAAAACACTGATTTATTTTAAGGTAGAGTTTAGAGTGCATGTAAGGACAATTGTTGGTAGTTTAATGATGCTAAGTGCATCAGCCACCACAGGGCTGGTGCTGTGGCAGGGCAAATATTGGTGGCGTGACTTTCAGTGTGGGACATGTGGCTAGGGTAAATTAAGAATGTTGCTTCCTTGGACAGTTTCCAGTAATTATGTATTAAAGTTATGTAGGCAGAAGTATTGACATATCTTTACTTTACAATAAGATGATCAGATGCAGCTGTTCTATATCTTTATATCCCTTCTGCTCTTCTATTGAAACATTGTACTGTTGCACATTGAGTTATTGTCTGTTGCATTTTGCCTGGCTTTTCCTAAGTATACCCTCGTGTTGTAAGGTAGCCAGTTTTCTCACACAGTGTAAATATTTATACAAAATTTTTTATACTTCTTATGAGTATGTTGCTTGAAAATAACCATGTAGATTTGAGCACATACGTTATTCAGCCTATCAGGGAGAGATGTAATTTTCCTGCCTGTCATGGTTCTTGTCAGTCATCTCTGGCTGTTTCATATTGTTCGTTGATTCATGTCTAGGGAAGTTGTCTGAGAGCCTCTTGAAAATTCTTTTGATAAGAGGGACATTGGCTAGTTGCATGATTTTGCACTGTGTTCATACTCGTGGTACAACTAATAGACCAGTAGATGACAAATGGAACACACCCAGATCACAGCAGATGCTGGATGGTTGCACACTGTGTTCATACTCATGGCATAACTAATAGACCAGTAGATGACAAATGGAACACACCCAATCACAGTAGATGACAAATGGAACACACCCAGATCACAGCAGATGCTGGATGGTCCAAGTTATGCAGGCATTCCTTGCAACGCCCTCAGAAATATTCACATTCAGGTGTTGCATTTACTTCTTGGAAATGGAGGTAATTTGATGCTGGAAACCATAAACTTTAAACCCTGGTCTTTTCTGCAAGATATGTTTGCGATTTTAGAAAAGAATATTCAAGTCAATCTCTGATTTCATCCGGTTTCTCTTCAGTTTGCTCAGGATCTTGATTTGGTTCTTTTTTTGTCCAGTAACGACCCTGCCAAAATGTATGTATGGTTGTATGGATAGTTTTTATATGGAACTGTAGCATTCTGAAATCTGTATCAGAATCTTTTTTGTACTGTCCACATGGGTATAGTACATAAATACTTGTCTCAGAGCATAACTGAGACATGACATTTCAACTTGAGAAGTAACCTGATACTCACAGCTGGGAATGACATGAATAGGTTCAGTAACTTAGGAAAGGAAAGCACAACAGATTTCGGTGTAGGTCAGTAGAGAAACTGTCATTACCTCTGTGCCAAATGAGACTGCAATAGGCTGGCTTGAAAAGTGTGCTATTTTAATGACATGTTTACTCGATGCAAGTCCTATTGGACTGGGAATTGGCTGTTGAGAATACCAGATGCTCATTGGATGCAGCTTAAGTGTGGTAAAGAATATGTAAAAGTCTGAGGCCTTTTGTGAGATTACATAATATGGTAGTTTGTTGGATGAGGGGCTGATAGCCGCATCCAAGTCTCAAATGCTTGAGAATAACCTCTTTTCAGTTTTCTGTTACTACTACTTTTTCACCATATTCACAGCTACTCTCTGCATGTGGAGAGTTGCCTCAGCTTGCACTTTTAGAATGTGCTGGGTTGACTAAGGACCCATATAACTTGGTGCAGTTTTATGCAGAACATCTCATGCTCCACTTAGCCACGTAAAGTGCATTCCTTGATAATTCTGCATATAGCTGTTCAGCAGTCTTGGATTTGTGACTGGAATATGTACCTCGGAGCTGTCTTTGTAAATGTACTCAGTGGTATGTGAAAGGTCATCAAGTCAGAGTTGTGGCCAAACTTTTCGTACCAGTAGTTGAATGGTAGATGTAATGTGTCTGAAATAAATGTATAGTGAAACTTAAGTAAGTCCTATGAATGATGCCTAAATGTCTTTTTAGGAGTAAAGGTTGTCTCCACAAAATCAAGAAAAGGAATGGCAAGAAATTGAAAAGGGATGGTTGTGAGAAGGTAGAAGAGGTTTAAGATATTTTGTCCACTGAACAGGAGCAGTGTTTGAAGAACCTGGAAATCTGTCGCAGTTCCTTTGTTCATATCTCTTGTGGACCCCCATAATCTTCTTGAACCACTGTTATCATATCCTGTCTCATTGAGTGCCAAGTTACGTTTGCAGTTTTTGCAGAATTCTTAACTTAGCTAAGAATGTACCAGTGGGGTGGGGGGTGTCAGTAAATAGTGTCACGGGAAGTTCTCTTGCTGTGTTGCTGACCATAATACTAAGTTTTACACTCCATGATTTTTTGGGAAATTTGCCTTCCTTGCCTTGCAGTATACCTCAATTTAATTAAGAAAGATATAGAAAGGGCTTGTTTTAAATCCAGATGTTTTTTCTTTCTCTTGCAGTCCAGTAAACAGGAGTACTGTTGGCCAGCAGCAGTACCATCCTCAGCCCCAGAGAGAACAGCGAGACAGAGAACCTGCACACCCCAGGGAACAGCAGTCCCGTGACCAACCACCAGTATGTTTCATTATGGCAGACCCTCACCCAGCTAGTATAGTCATGCTGTGACTGAAGTGATTAGACATTGGCTGTTCACCACAGTCCCTTACAAAGGCATTGTGGGATTTATAGTCGGCAAAACAGTTCTAGGGCCACTTCTGTTCAACAGAATTTGAGTTCGCCTAGCAGTCGTCATTCTACCAGTGTGGTCCCGTTCATTTAACCCAGATGGTTAACATAACCATACTGTAGCATGTTCCATGTTAGGTGATTCCCTTGTCATCACGTCATGGCGTGTCCTCAGGTTGCAGATGGAGGGCAGTTGCGACTGTATTGAATAAGCAGTCGCCGACAGTTGATAAGGGATGGTCCTCCACCTTGGGTTGGGTGTGGGGGTACCAACTCCTCACTGTAAAAAAATAAGCTTCTTAACGAAAATTTGCAAGAAGCCTCGGACCTAGACGGATTCCTTGGATAAACAAACTAAATGATATAAAATGGGTATGTTAACACGGTTGTGGACCTTCAGGTTCTATAGAATGCTGGGAAGTTCTTGAGTAGCTGCACAGTTGGCACTTTCTCAAGAAGGTCTCAGCTCCATGAGTGAGTGATGAGTAATGGTGTACTGTTGTCAGAAACCTTCAGCACCAGATGGCTAAGACTTTCCAGTTTCTGCATCACCATCAGATAGGCCATAAAGTTTGCTTTGAAACTCTTATGTGTTCTTATAGTTTCCTATTTACTCCCTTGGGACCTGAAAATGTAGTTTGCTATGTTACCACAAGAAACTTTTAATGATGTTCGAAACACATCACACGTACACTTATTTATTTGTGTATGATTTTGAATTGCACATTCTTTTGAGTTTAACTGTGCAATTTGGCTAGTAGATCATTTTGATACTTTAGGAGTATTGTATTTGTGGTAGTTAGCAAAATATAATTATCATTGCACTTTGGTTTAAGTAGCAGAAACGCAGTTCTGTGATGTTTCTGCTAGTGTTGCTGTTATTTTCCTGAAGTAGTATTTTCATAAATGACATTTTTCAATGTTCTGTACAAGTGTTCATATTTAATATTAAATTGTTAGGCCCCTCTGCCTGAGCGGGCTTCGCAGCAACAACAGCAACAACCACAGGCACCAGGGCGTGGTGGTTGGGTGAACCGTGGTGGCATGCGACGTGGCAGAGGTCGAAGTGGAACCTCAGGTAGTGGTTTCAGCAGGACACCAGGCTCTGGACAACAGACTGGTACTAGTGGAAAGCCCAAGAACATCATCAAGTTCGAGAATGACTTCGACTTTGAACAAGCCAATAAAGAATTTGATACGCTCAGGAGTCAACTGGCAAAAACCAAAATTGGTAAGGCTCTACTTTATATTTGAGTGTTATGTGTGTGTTATTGTATTTGTTTTGTATTTAAAAGGTATTAAAATGTGTAAGCTTTTTCAGATTTTTTATTTTGATCTTCTTGCTCGACTAGAGTTAGTTTGAAATAAACCTTTGTTACTCAGAAAATTTAAAAAAATTAGGCTTTCTTTCTTAAAGTTTTGTAAGCTTGGATCTAGCAGATATCATAATGGTTGGTGGTGCTGTATGTTGTTCATACAGAAATCCAGTCTTTTCTTCATCTGTCTTTGGTCTTTAACTCTGGAATCCTTGAGTTGTGATGAGGATGTGACAGTAGTTCTGGCAAAATTTAGCAATGAAGTATGTGCTTAGACTTACTGAACTTTACCAGCAACTTTTATCATTACAAATATGTGTAAACCACAAAAAATATTTCACATGGAATTATGTGTTACGTGAGTGTTATTTACAACTGGAAGCATGTGACATTTTAACTTTCACTAGGAAATAGGGGATTAATGATTTCACTCCTGTAGGTTAGTGGCTGGATTCTGAGTTACTGCTCTTGGGATTTATGTTATAAACCATGTGAAGGTAGGGCCCCTGGACCCTTACATGTGCCAACACAGTTGTGCAGTGCGTGGGTGATAAAGTTTAAGTGGTATATTGTGGAATGAGACTGGGAGGTGATGTAGTTACTAAACCTCTGCTATCTACTGCACTGGGAGTGAGCAGCTGCATCCACATGTACAGCAGTCATAATTATTTTTAAGATTTGTTTTAAATGGTCTTGTCCCATGTTTAATGAATAAAGTTACTGTTCTAGGTTTTTCCATATTATATCTTAAAGTAATATTTCTTCTGATCAGCTTTGAAGCTTGTCACTATGTAACCCTCATCCCAGTTCTCTTGCAGTCAGCTGTCCACTGTCAGTTTCCAAACTGTAGTGAGCATGTAGTTACTGTAGGATTCTGACGATGGTGTATAACACACTGATATATTGGGTTTTCGGACTTTATCCATCGTCCTGGTTTTTAAGATAACTAATAAAAACATGACATTTCGGAAACTGGATCTGTTTCCGTCCTCAGGTGAAGGAAAACACCTATTCTGTTGGGTCCGTTAGAAAGAGCTAGCCTCAATCACTGCTAGCTCTCTCTAACGGACCCAACAGAATAGGTGTTTTCCTTCACCTGAGGACGGAAACAGATCCAGTTTCCGAAACATCGTGTTTTTATTAGTTATCTTAAAAACCAGGACGATGGATAAAGTCCGAAAACCCAATATATCAGTGTAGTGAGCATGTTGGAATTATTGCTTGGCTTATCCTTTGGTCCAGAAGTGGAAGTGATACTTTCCTCCGAAATGTTGGGCTGTCTCACAGTTATGTGGTTTTGCAACCCAGAAGGCTGTATTTGCTCTGCTACATAGCATGGAGCCAGATGTGTTGTATGTGGGTGCGATCCATTATGCTGGAAATATGCTTGTGCCTGTTTTATTAAAGGCACGTCTTCTAACAAGACCAGCAGTTCATGTTTCAAAAAGGCCACAGAGATTACACCAGTCAGCCTTCCTTCCAAGAAGAATGCTCCAATGAGCTGACTGTTAATTACAGCACACCATACATTAGCAGAAAATTCATTCTGAAATTTGCTTCCAGCATACTTTGTGGAGTCACATCCAACCATAAATTGGAGTTTGTTATATTATTTACCATTTCATAGGGAAAAGAGCCACATCAGTGAATAAGCTGTATGTGGTCAGACACAAAAAAAGACAAAGGCTAACCCTATAGCTTGGGAACCTAGAGTGAGAGGTGGGAGGGTAGAGACAAAGAGGTGGTTATAGAGCATGTTCTAACCTGTCACTGTGAGAGAGCACTCAAGTCCATAGCATTACTCGGTACAAGTGGATGCATGTTCAAATATAGACATTTTCTTACCCTCTGTCAGAAAATGTTAGAGAACAAGAATGAACAGTGAGTTAACATTGAGTTTCTTGTGAAACTGAAGAAATCGACAACAGAAACTTTCCAATTGTTGACTGAGGAAACCAAGCGACAGTCAATTCAGTGGAAGGCAGCAATATCTCCAAGGCAAAAAAAAAATATCACTCAAGAGTTGTTCGAAGTTCAAGACCATATTAATTGTTTTCTTCAATATCCAGGGTATTATAATGGCAGAGTGCTCTCCACTTTTAAGAAGACAATTTTGGTTTCTAATTTTGTCCCTTCATGTATTATGTAAGGATACTGAGATATCTCCTGTAAAGTAAATCTGATATTGAATTTACATTGTTATGTTGCTTCTGCATTTTGTTGTATTATTAACTTAGTTTCCTTGTTTTAGAAAAATAAAAGTAGGCTTGTGTGAACACCATGCTAATTGTGTGGGTCTGTATATCCCCTGTTAACTTTTGAATGCCTGAACCAATCTTTATGAAACTTGGTATGTCATGGTACCTGAGCCAGTCTTAGTGTCTGTATGTGTATCCCTCTATCATTGCTAGGCAGAAGCTCAGTAAAAACGTTGCCATGGGAATAAATCCACATGCAGCAGTGGAAGAATTGTTGGATACGTCATTTTCTGTGTAGTCAGTGTTGTTTCACAGGAAAGTAGGTTCTTTCCTTTATGTTAGGTGTCACTAAACGTTGCCATGGGAATAAATCCACATGCAGCAGTGGAAGAATTGTTGGATACGTCATTTTCTGTGTAGTCAGTGTTGTTTCACAGGAAAGTAGGTTCTTTCCTTTATGTTAGGTGTCACTTTTATGTCCAAAAACCCAGTAATTCTATATGTCACTTATCGCGTGGTTTACAGTTTGTTACCATTTTGGCAAGGCAGTAGCATAGTTGGTTAAGGCACTGTGCTACAAGCTGGAAGGTCATGGGATCGAATCCCGATGAGGTGGACTTTTTCAATTTACCTAATTCCTCCAGCTGCAATATGCCCCTGGGGTTAACTCAGCCTTTAACAGAAATGAGTACCAGAAATATTCTTAGGGGTAAAGTGCGGCCTGCGCGTAAGGCTGACAACCTTACTGCCATCTGTGCCGATTTTCTAGAAAATATGGGAACCTCAACATCTCACAACCCTATGGGCCTCCATGGCCTGTTACAGGGATATCTTTACTTGCTTACTTTACCATTTTGGCATATTATCAAGGGAGTCACTGTTATATTTTGTGATCCTAAACTTTCTGAGGTGGACTGTTGTGGTTTGGAAGTTATGCTCACTCTTGATGATGGCTATCATAATATTCCATGTTTTTGTGTTTAGTACTGTTGCTGCACATATGCAAGAAGCTAACCACTGTTTGAAATTGAAATGTTACAGACTCAGAACCTGTTATTGCAGGTGATGGGAAGGTGAATGATGACAGTGAGAAGAAGGATGACTCTGGAAATGAGACTGGTGCTGGAGAGGGTGAGCAAGAGGAAGAACCACAGATCTTCTATGACAAAAAGAAGTCCTTTTTTGATAATATTAGCTGTGAGGCTGTGGAGAGGAGCAAGGGGTGTGTGTTCTGTATTAGTGTAGAGTAACATAAAAATCTAAGTTACATGTCACTTTTTTTTTTATTATTGCTAGTATGGTGGGACTAAGTCCCTTGTACTGCAGCCACTTGTGGCCTCTTGTACCAGCCCCAGATGATAGGTGAGGGTGATTGTGGAGCAATTGGTGGAATGAAGATTGGCAGGGGAAACCGAGGTACTTGGAGAAAACCTGCCCCGATGCCACTTTGTCCACAACAAATCCCACTTGACCAGACCCCTGGATCGAACCTGGGCTGCCGTGGTGGGAAACCAGCGACTAACCACTTGAGCTATGGCACCGCCTACTTATCACCTTTAAAAAAAGAATAAGGGTGGAGATATGTGATGATGGTTGGTAGTGTTGTGAAGTACAAAGTATGGGAAAGAAAGCAGCCATGACCTATTGACATTTGCCAGGAATGACGGTGGGATGTTGCTGTTAGTCCTGATCTGAATAGTCCATGCTTAAGGCAATATTGGAACTTCCTGGATATAAATCAGGCATGTGAATGCTGAGGTAGTCTGGTCATTGAGATAAGAACATAGAATTTTATTATTTTATTGGCTAGAATACAAGGACATTGCATTACACTATTAACTTATTGTCCATACATTAATGTGAATAGCTGTGACCAAGTTATAATACCATTTCATTTTTTAACCCAATTAGATGAATGCATTTAATTTACTACAGTCGAAATGAAAACAGCCCTCTTTGTAAGCTAGGTAGGAACTGTACCATTTGTAGTTCCCACACATATGAAATTACACTGATGCCGCAGGTCTCGTTTCATTATAGAGATCGTGAAAGGAAGTTCACCATTTTGTAGGTATGAGAAACAGGTACATCAGTTTGCTTGGGTTTAGCATGTAATATATTTTCTTTATCTTCTTCAATATTGTGAACAATGTCAAAGAAGTTAATCCATACCACCTTTGTATTTTGCTATTCCACGAGTTACTGACCCAGCACATACATATTCAAGTTGGAGCTCTTCTGTTTTGTTGCTGTAATTACTAGTTTTCAAAATTTTTGCCATTGTCACAAACCATTGCCCCATCATAGGTCAGTTGAAGCTCAGGGGAGAGAGAAGTCCATGTCACTGGAAGGGAAGGGACACATAGTGCTGCTATATTTTACAATTTAACTAGCCGAGGCAGTGTAGTGAAGTTCGGGGAATGTCACATGATATACATTTCTCAGTGCTTAAAACTTGGAAGGGATAAGCTGTTTTCCATGTATGTAACATTAGGAAATGAAAGTTCCAGTTGTTTATGTTGTTATAATGAAGTCCTTATTCTGTCACAAATTCTTTCTGTGTTCAGCCTATGTAGGCACCTTTTGATATCAACTGCAAATGTCTTGGAACCATCTAGTACATTTATTCTGTATCAGATATAGTTCTGTCACTTCTAATAATGTGATAAATTAATTTCTCATATCGTAAAATCCATTCACCGTGTTTGCAGCCGCTGTGGGTATAGAATGTCTTTATGTTCATTTTTCCACATCATGAGGGAGAGAACCAAACTGCCTATAATTTGATCTAGTGCACATATAAAGTTAATAAATTAGTATATTGGTGGAATAAATATAGTTGGTTGGTTGGTTGGTTGGTTGGTTTCCAATGATTGCATTTGGGATCATTTAACCCATTTTGCTTCTTGCCTACCAATAGAGAGCACTCAAGTTCTTGCTTTGTTGCAAGATATTTTAGTACACAGTACTTTGTGGTAAATTTTGAAAGGGAAATTGTGACTTTTACAGCCAGGGTTTTTTTATCCACTTTGTTGACAACACTATATTTAGTTCTAGTCATGGTGGAAGAACCATCCATCATTTAACACACAAGATTGTTTAGTGGAAGTTCATAAAAGTTGAATATTTCTCCAATTCACAGATGATGATTTTACCCGTAGGAACACAGTGGAGTGGAGGTGCTGTTGAGTAGGCTTGAAACCTTTACTAAATGCTTTTAATTTAAATCATTGGCAATGTTATTCATGTGTTCAGCTACTTCATTTCTAGTAAGGCTGATGTTTTTTTATGCTTCCTTTTATCGGGGAATGTAATTTCAGTATCACTCAAGTACTCTTGAATGAATGAGATGCGTAACTGGCTTTCACTTTGCTTTGATTGCTGCTGCTTGTGTTTTACTAACTGCTTGGAAAATATTTTGTTGCTTTTTTAGCATACATTTTAATTCTGACAGTGCTCATGTCCCTGAAAGTATAGTGTCTTTCCTTAGGAGTTCCATAATTGTGCCTGATATTGTGGTCTTTGGAAATATTCGAAAATGAGACGTGCAATAGTTTCTATAACTTGTCTTGAAATATATGATCCTTTTCCTCTATTTTATGCATTTTATTTGAATGTGGCTTTGATAAAGGTATTGTTAATACATGCTACAGAATATGTCTCAGGACACAGAATGATGACCGCTGCTTGACCAGCAAGAAAATGAATGAATTGGGAGCTTTTACTATAATCCATTCTGATCTCCCACTCTTCTGCTCATTTTATCTCAGGCCAGACACTAGCTGGTGTGGTGGGTTTCCATTTCTCCGCTTTAGTTGTTCAGAGATTTTGACTGAACTAACACTGGCACCAAATCAGGGAAAGAAAGTAATGGTGAACAGTCAGTGTTTGGATGTGAATAAGCTTGTTGTGGCTTCACACATGACTTAATAATATGGAAAAGGCATTGTTGACTACACAGAGAATGAGGATGAGCCACAAGGCCTCTTGATACAACTGCCCGCTTGGGAGTCACCAAGAAAAATGAGGGGGCTGCACACAGGCTGTGGGCCACCAGTTTGATTTGTATGACAGTGTGTTTAGTGGCATCACTGTTGATAAATCTGAATCATACAATGTTGATGGAAATAAAGTTGAAAATTCGAGTGGTAAATGTGCTTGCCTGTTGGATTCATGGTTCATGGGTTCAAACCAGGCTGAGCTCAGTACATTTTTAAGGGCGATAAAATTCAGTAGCATCACTTCCTTTGGATGGAAAGTAAAGCTGTGGGTCCCATGTGATACATTCATGGCATGTAAAAGAACCCATATTCAGTCATGGACAAAGCTCCATGTTCTGCTCCTAGATGCCATTGCAGTTGCAGAACCACGGAGAGTGGAGTGGAAACAACTTCAAGTCACTGAATTCTACTAAAATACACTGGACAACTGGAACTGGTGGTGTCCAAGTAGAAAATGAATTACAAATACACCACCCACTTCAGATTGAAAAGCATACATGACATAATTATCAAAGTGTGGCATTTGAAACCAACCAACCCTTAGTGGCAAATACATCAGCAAGGTGAACGAGAGCTGCAGATATACATGTTGAGATTCGTGAGAGAGATTGGAGGAAGTGGTTTAGGCAGGTGAACGAAACTTAAGTGCTGTACAATCAATAAAAATAACTCACTTTCACTCTTATCATGTCCACTGAGTTTTTATGGGATTAAAGTATAACTTAAGTATTTTGATGGACAGAATTTTTGGAAATTAATGCACCAGTGTTACATATGAATTCAGAACTATCTGACTGCAGGAGATGCTTATGGTCACCTCTTATATAGTGATGACTGCCTCTGTGGTCTAGCGGTCAGAGTCCATGGCTACAGATCCAGAGGTTCCATGTTTAATTCCCGACGCTACCAGATTTTCTAAGAAGTAATGTGTCTGGAACGGTGTCCACTCAGCCCCGTGAGGATAATTGCGGTGCTATTTCAAGGAAATATTGGCTCTGATCTAGAAAACTGAGATTAACGGCCGTGGGGATCCATTGCACTGACCACATGACATCCTCTATCTGCAAAAATTGGCACTAACTTTGCTGATAAGCGGCGGTTGCTTGGTTGGTATAGTTCACTTGCAGACTACAGGGCATGGAGTTTATAGAGTTATGCCGATTAGTAGTGTTTACAGAATGAAGCAGACATGTTACTGGACAGTTTGCAGGTGATCAATGTAAGCAGGAAACTGTGATTTTGAATGGGAATCTTGAACCCCAGATGAATTGTAACATTTTGCATTGTGTATCAGGTGTAAAAGCTGAAAATACAAACAAATTAGTTGAAAGGGAGTTTGAGATTTTACAGAAGCTTTGTCATTATGATGATTCTAGAATTGATGAGTTTCTGAAAAGGATTATTTTTCCCTCAGAATAGGTGGAGTGCTGTAACATACATGAGAAATTGCTGGTGAGAATGTCATTGAATTTCTGAATTAGATTTTGCCTTCTTGATATTAGCCAGAAATGTATCAGATGTTCTGCAGATTTTTGTTTTATAACATTATGTTGAAATTATAAGATTTCAAAATTTGAAACGTATGTTAAGGCAGATACATATGTACATACCTCATTGCAGATTTAATTGCACACACCTTTATCACATGTGCATATGACATTGTAGGATCATATTATGCGATCCTGCTGAATGTGTGTTGCATTTCTGTTCCTGAGATAAAATAGTTTCCAGCTCCATAGCACTAGAAGGTTTGAAATTAGTGTCTTGATATAGCAACGGGCTGTGGGCTGGATGGCCGGGGTTCAATTCCTGCCAGGGGCTAGAAATTTTTCTCTTCTCCACAACATCCAGACCAACCCTGGGGTCCACCCAGCCACCTTTACAGTGGGTACCAAGGGCTCTTTCCTCCGAGGAGTAAAAGTGGCAGGGTTGTGAGACTGACCACACATTTGCATCTGGTGCTGAGGTAAAGAAATGGTGGAGCTGTACCTCTGCTCTTCCCATACATCTTCATGGCATGTTGCTTAATTAAGTGCAGAGACTTTACCTTTTTATTTGTATGATAGAGACTAATGATGTGTGTGTGTGTGCGCGCACAAATATGTGCGCATGTATGCATTTATGCATCTGTTCTTGCTGTAATGGAGTAGTCTAAAGGTAAAAGGGGGGGGGGTGAAGTTCTGCGTCTGCATAATTAAGCATTATAACATGAAGATGTGTGGGGGAGTGGAGGTGTAGTTCCACCATTCTTGACCTCTGTACTAGATGGAGGTGGGTGGGGCTTCATGCCCCGGTTGCTCTTCTCCTGGGGAAAGAGCCCTGGTACCCATTGGATAGGAGGCTGGGTGGGCCTTAAGGCTGGTCTGGACGCTATGGAGCAGAGTAAAAATCTTACCCCTGCCAGGAATTGAACCCCAGCCGGCAAGCCCATTGCTGTGCTGGCAGAGCTGTTGTATTTTAGTAGTTTGCATACATAATGATTGGTCTGTATATATATTTATTTTCAGTCGGTCTCAGCGAACAGATTGGAGGACAGAACGCAAGTTGAATTCTGAGACATTTGGTGTTGCATCAGCACGTCGTGGAGGGTATCGAGGAAGAGGTTACTATGGTAACCGCGGCATGGGTGGCGGTATGTACAGAGGTGGGAACTATCGAGGTGGCTACAGAGGTCAAGGTGTGCAGCGAGGTGGAAGAACCAATATGGCAAGTGGAAACACAGGAGGATCAACAGGCAATCCCCAGCAGCGTGCTCTCACTCAACAAAGTAAGTTAGAAACATGTGTATTATATTTACCAGATAGCAAGATGTTTTGTATTCTGTGTTGTAGCATCAGCAAAATTAAACCTGTTGTATAGTAAAAAATTTACTTAAAGCAGTAGCATAAGAGCGTAAAACATTTACATAATAGCAGAGGATCTGTGGTGTTTGATTAGGATGTGCAGTGGAATTCCAATGAAAGGTTTCTCAGTCTATTGTCTCCCCAAATTTTATGGTAATTTCTTTGGATTTGGCAAAAATGTCATACGCAGTGCGTGAATTACCTTATTTTAATGTTCCTTGACTTTTGGTTTTACCCAAATTTAGTGGAGGGCATGCAGTAGTGTAGTTGGTTGAGGCACTGCTACAAGCTGGAAAGTTGTGGGTTCAATTCCCGATGAGGCCATTGGATTTTTCAGTTGATCTAAACCTTCCAGCTTCACTATGGCCCTGGGTTTGACTCAGCCTTTTAACAGAAATGAGTACTAGGAATCTTCCTGGGGGTGAAGGGCTGCCAGCACATAAGGCTGACAACCTCTGCTATCTGTGAGCCAATTGTCTAGGAAATGTGGGAGCCTCGACGTCTCACAACCATATGGGCCTCCATAGCCTGTAACAGGGATAGCTGTACCTTTTACTTATATTTAATGGATGAAATTTCAGTTCCTACATGAAGTCTCTACCCTGATGTAGTGTTTATGCTAAACGTGAGGCCCTCAATTTGCCCATGTGTGGTATGTGCATACTGCTGTTTGCTCAAAGTCATCTTCTGCATTGTTACTTGTTAGGCTAGTGAGCAGTGCACTTGGGTGGTCATAGACTTGCTAGCAGTATGTGCTGTAGCATTATCATGATGGAAATATCCATATTATCCTCCTTTGGTTGTTGGTTGAAGGAGGATTTCAGAATACACAACTGATGCTGTTAACAATAATATTACTAATGCCATCTATTGAAGGTGAATGGGACTAATTAGAAAGTTTATGTGATGTGCAAGTTTCAGCTTGTTTGGTTGATGTAAAGTAAAGCTATCCCTGTACCAGGCTGTGAAGGCCCATAGAGTTGTGAGACATTGAGGGTCCCACATTATCTAGACAGTTGGCTCGAAGATGGCGGTAAGGTTGTCAGCCTTACGCGTCGGCCACACTTTACTCCCCAGGAAAATGATCTAATTAATTCCTGGTACTCATTTCTGTTGGAGGCTGAGTAAACCCCAGGGCCTAGTGCAGCTGGAAGGATTAGGTCAACCGAAAACAATCCAATGACCTCATCGGGACTTGAACCCGCGACCTTCCTGCTTGTAGCGTAGCCCCTCAACCACTACGCTACCGCGTGCTCCTTGTTTGGTTGACTGACATATAGGGATTACAGTTGTTTCGGTGAAATTAGTTTTTCTTTATGTCGAAGGTTTTGGCTACTGAAACGTTTGAAATTTTGAAAAGCGCATACAGTGAAGAATGTTTATCGAGAACAGATGTGTTTGAATGGCATAAAAGATTCAGAGAAGGGTGTGAGTCATTAGAAGACAATGAACGGAAAGGCCGTCCTTGAACTTCTAGAACAGAATTGATGGAAATCATTTAAAAGTGTTTGAGTTTATGGATGTTAGAAGAAATGACAGGGATCAGTAGAGAGAGAGTAACCTCGAAATCATCACATTAGGCCTGAGTTTCAGGAAAGTGGGTCCTGGTATCTTCTGCACGACAATACACCGGCACATTCTTTGGATGTTGTCTCCGAGTTTTTGTCTAAATGAGGTATCCCAATGTTATCCCATCCATCCTACTCCCCTGATTAGTGCCAGCTGACATTTTTTATTTTCATCCTTTGCTCCATTTTGTAGTATGATCTGACTATCTAATGCGGACTTCAGCATCCTGTTGCACTGTATTGTTGCCTCTTATATATATGTGTAAGCACTATCATAAATGCAACACTTATCTTTGTCTTTCATGTAGAAGATCATAAAATTGCTGATTCTGCCATGCTGCATTTGGACGTCAGGTGTTGGTGTTTTATTTGTTGCAGTGGTGTGGTTATCAGCTCACTGCTGAGTTAGTCTGTTATGTATGTGTGCAGAGTATGAATCTGTGTGTACGCATGAATATGTTACATGTGTACTGTGTCAGCTGGTCCAGTCAGGCTCTAGCAGAATGATTCTTCATTGCTTAAATATTGTGGTGGGTTGAGTGAATATAAATAATTCTTTTGACCTTTTCAGATTCTGCTTTGAAATCTCTCCCTGCTAACATTTTACATTTCTTCAGGTTTTGAGATAAGTTTATGTAAAGTATAGAAGTACCCTGAGATATTTTCCAGGAGCATTATTTGTGATTTTGTGCCCACCATTGCCCTTGATCGTTTATTGCTCCTAGGAATATCTTTATGCTTACATCAGTTGTTGCAAAGCTAATTTACACACTATACAGACACACCCACTCTCCCCCCCACCCCCCTGGAAAATGTGTCAGGTAAAAGTTGTAACTCATAATGAGCTCCTCCTTATTATGTATATATTATGTACAAGTTTTTTGTATGATAAAACTTATTTTGAGAAAAGTCAAGTTTGAATTTAGCTTCAGGTGCCACATCAGACCGCTGTGGATCGAAATTGAACTGATCCAACAACTTTTAGTTCAGATTACCAATTTGTCAAAATCTTTTGAGTAGTGTAGAAGAAGTGAGATTTGCAGGCTGACACAACCTTCCCAGTGCACACATATTCTGTGAGCTCCATGATGAGGGACAAGGAAGGAGAAAAATGTATACTGAATCAAGATAGTATGTGAGAATGTATTTGTAGTTGGAGAGAAAACTTTGCAAATGGGAACTTGTGAAATATACAGGGAGTTTAAAAATATGTAGCATAACTTCAGGAATGAAGTCCTCATATGTAGATAATAAAAATAGTTTACGTTAGCATAGGTCAGGTAAATGCATAGTTCCTGAGTTAGGGCTTCGTAAGTCTTGAATCCTGGGCTGTGACACCATGTAGTCTGGTAGTTTACCGATGTTTCAGAGGAACACATTGCCTCCATATTCAGGGTGAAAGTTAACCCAAACTGCAGAATACAAGGTGTCACAACTCAGACATTAATACTCTTGACAGTAACTGCTGTGAGAGCCTCACAGCTTATTTAACTGAATTATGTAGAATAAATTACAAATATTCTTTCAGGCAAGTAGATATCCTACAGAGGGCTGACCCAGGAATGTTGCAAGGCAAGAAGCAGCCAATGTTTTACTGAACTGCCTCAAGAATCGTGGTTTATAATTTGTATTCCTCAAGTGATTATAACTTGAAGTCACCCCTGACACAGCATAAGATTGTTATGTGGTGACTTTTACTTGAACTTTGGAAGCCTGATTTTTTTTATTTCGCTATTTGTGGCAGCAAGATTCTCCTGAAGAAAGTATGTGTGGTTCTGAAGGGGATGATAGTATCTGTTGTTGCAGAGTGGAGTTGTGTTGAGATTGTATCCTAATAGAAGCCGAAGAAAGTTATCTTACTTTGGAGCTTGGATTCCGATCCGCTATAAAAAAACTATGGAAACCTTGAAGCTGCCTGTTACACTAATAATATTAATGATGATGATGGATTGTATTGCCACAAGTAACTGTTAAGTTGCATTATTATAGTTCATGATTGGATGTTTCTGTTGACCTTGTGTAATTCAATTCTGGTGTCAAGTTCTTACTCCAGTAAGGGCTTCTGAGCCTATATGCTGAGACTGATGTGCAGATGTATGTAAGAAATCCAGGAAAAGTAATTAGTTACTGAATTTGATTGAAGGGGGTGACCTTCCCAGAAATCTCTTATTTTCTTTATCCTACTACATGGCAGAGATCTATGGCCCACAATACAGAAATTGGGAGATGTACATTATTTGAGAAAACCAAAAATTTAATTGCAGTATCTTTATTTTTCTGTGAGAAAAATTGAGAATCCTTGTACAGAATTCCATATTTAAGTTTGGTGGTGTGAATGAGATATTTAAATTTTTCCATTATAGATATAGTTTGGTTTGGGCTTTTCATTGGTTGCTATTCCGCTTAGCGAAGTTTTGATCGGTATTATGTGAAACATGCAGATAAGCTTAGGATTCAGAGCAATTGAAGATGTTAATTTAATGATTTATTGGCTATAATATATTTGTAGTTGAAGCTACTACTATAATTGAAGTGTCAACATATATATATATGAACGTTTTTTATTTTTTTCTATTGCTTAGGTAGTCATTGAAGGTACTACCAGTACAGGGGAAGGAGTGGAAATTTGAATTAACTGTAAATGGGGGAAATTAGTTTAAACTTTTGCTTTTGTCTGTTGGTCTATGAGTCATGGTACAAGGCCTTCAGTTTGTGCAAAGTTATGCACATTGTGATAAAGAAAAGATGGTAAGGTGATACAGAACATCTAATGAAGTTTTGTGCTTAATGAAACAACTGGATAAGGTATTTGTATGCATTAGGAGTTGATAATAGCATTCGAGTTATGGAGTAGTAGTGAAATATGTTAGCAGCACACTGTTTAGTTGTTTGCCATTGTATATTAGTAATCCCTATGTACTGGGTGGATATCAAGCTCAAGAGAATGATGTACTTGTGCAAATCCATGTTACTTTTTTTTTTTTTACAACTTTTCACTTTGTGTTGATGTATGTTACAATTGATGGAACCTTGTATTTGCAAAAAGATTTCCATTATAAATAAATTTTCTATTTCAAAGAAGAATATTGTTTTCTTTTTTAAAAGGTACAGAAAATTAAGTGTTATATTGCTTTTGCAGTTCTATCATAACTGAAAATTGGTATTCCATCACATAGTCATTCTTCATGTTTCTCTGAGAGTAATGTAGTTTGAAGGCCATTCAACTGATTGAGTGAATGAATGCAGACTTGGGTAGTACCAGACTTGATTACTCTACTGTCACTTCTTTCACAGTTGTGATTCATAATTTGAGTGTGCAATTAAAACGTTCACTTTTCCTATTATGCATTTTACATAAATGTAATCCTTCCCCACTACAGTTTAGAAGCATGGTTGCATATTTTGTATGTACCATGGATTTGCATAAAAATCGTCACTTGGATCAATTGTGTACATGTGATGGTTCTTAGAAATGAGAGTTGCTGATATATTTCACTGTTTTATCAGTATTAAAAACAGCTGCTGCATGTTCAACATACCAGGGGAGGGGAGATATTAATGCTGCTCTGCAGTCAATTATATGGTATTGAGAGAGATCAGTGTAAGTGGAAGATGTTGAAAGTTGTGTTTTCATTTACATTGTCAGAGTATATAGTTGTTGTACATATTTAGTTTGAAAATCTCTTTGGTCTTGAGTATGTAGAATTTTAGTTTACTGGACTAGAGTGGCTGAAAGATCTTCATATCAGGCAGCAGCCTATAATCATTTTGTCATTTCTTTTTTTAACAGTGCACTATGGAGATGTAGTGTACTGAATTGAGCTTGGATATAAGAAAGTGTGAGACCAAAGGAAATAAGAACAAAAATTGAGTCAGTGTGTTTTGTCTTCTTTTGAAATTGGCCCCTGTGATGTTTGCATTGGTTGGTGACCTGTGGATCCTAATTGCAATATCTAGAGCAGTTTCATCAAGTACAGAACTTGGAGGAAAGCGCCAAACCATTTAAGAATAAGGGCCAATAAAAATAAACATGTGGAGTGGCGATACTGTTTTCGCCACATTACAAGTGTCAGCAAGATACTCTACGTACATACATGTGACTTCATTTAAGGGTATTCAGTCATGAAACTTGTATGTTTATTTTTGTGGACTCTCTATGTAAGTGAACCAGTGTTCATAATTTTTGTAATTACTCAAATTTTTCAGTTGTTTATCAGTCCATATGTAAGTGGTACTGTATTTATTGAACAGAAGTAACTTTTTTTACCTACAAATTTGTGTCAGAATCCCTGTGAATAAATACTGACCTTTAAACTCTGAAGTGTTAACAGTAATGATATGAGAATTAAAGCTCTCTGAGTGGCTGTTAAATGAGCAACTGTCTTTCACAATTTCACAACATGAAAGATAATGAAAAGTGCGAACTTATAGGTTTTAAGGCTCTGTAGTTCGGTAGTAATTGACTTTGACCAACCTGTATGGTCCTAAAGCCCAGATTGTCCTCTTAATGGTAACTGCTACTGAACTGTAAATGCAGCATGAAAGATAATGGCTCTGTGGTGCATGTTTGTAACACCCACAAGTAATGGGATCCATTCTTTTAAAGTGGAATTTACAGAACGTGAAATGGAGGATCCATCCCTTGTCCTGATGCCTCCCTTCACATTCAGTTATGAATAGATGGAATAGACCAAGACTGTGAACTTTCTTACCCTTCATTTA